CTATATGTCTGTCTGCCTCCCATGCATCCATGCATGCATCCACCCATCCACGCATGCATCCATCCATGCATGCATGCATCCATCCATCCACGCATGCATCCACCCATCCACGCATGCATCCACCCATCCACGCATGCATCCACCCATCCACGCATGCATCCATCCATCCACGCATGCATCCATCCATCCATGCATGCATCCATCTACCCAGAAACACTGCTTTTCTAACTCATGAGTTGAATGGGTCAAATATGGGTAGATGAGAACTGTTGATTTCCAGTGAATGTCTGGAGCTGAGAGTGTCTCTGTGGGTGATGGAGATGTGACAGTGGAGCTTGTGCAGCTATCAAGATGGGGGAGGTGACAGAGACTTTGTCATAGTAACAGTGGAGCCTTTGGCAATCAGAGGAGGACCAGAGGCTGTACTCATTGGTTCTCAGTCTCAGGCAGCCCACAGCTGAGCCCTGCTCACAGGTGTGGGCCGCAGCAGCACACCCTGGCACAGCTACTTTGATTCCGAGCCCTCCCAGGATCCCACTACTCTGCAAGTCCCCAGATGGCTCCTGCTCCTGCACGGTGGTAGGGCGCCTCCCCTGGCAGCTAGCACTGTGGTAGCTGCTGAGGCCCTGTGGATGAGGTGGAGACAGCCCACCTGTCCTCCTGGCCACATCTACTCTCCCTCCCTCCCAACAGCTCCTGATGGAGATCACAACTTTTTAAATTAAGCACAATCTCGGCTGTTTTTTTCTTTATTTTGCTTTTACAGCTCTTTCTTCTATTTCTGGCCACAATCACCAGGTCTTCTCACCTCCTTTCCAGCATCTGGCAGGAGGCAGACAGGCCCGAGGGGAGGGAACTGGACGGGGTGTGTGTGTGGTGTGTGTATGTGTAGATACAGGGCCACTCGGTGATCCTGCTTCAGAGGGAAGATCAGTCAAGTGATTGCGGCCGTCTCCTTTCCACATCAGACCTACCCTCTGGCTCCCGTTTGTCTTGTAGGAAATGTGATTTCCATCTCTCCTGCTCAGCTCAGGCTTCTGGAAGGCATGCTAGCCGCCAGTACCCTCCAAGCTCGCTGACCCAGGTCTGATGGTTCTGAAAGTGAGCCCCCATTTCAGTCCCTTTTTGGCTCTTCTTGTTACTTCTAAAAAGCGGCATCCTTGAGATGCATTTTACACTAGATTCCATTCAGGAACACAGTTCGGTACTTTTCGGTAAATGTCCTGAGTGACGAAGTCATCCTCAGAAATCAGTTTCAGAACATTCTCCTCACCCCAGTAAGACCCTTCATGGCTATTTCGTTAATCCCCATCCATCCCTCCTCCCAGGCCACCACTCTGCTACTCTCTGTCTTCAGAGGTTTGGGGAATTTTTCATATAAATAGAATCACACAATTTGTCGGCTCTGTTTCCAATGGTATTCATTTAGCATAATGCTCTTAAGTTTCATTTGCGAGGTAACATGCTAATCTTCTTTCCTTTTAGTTGCCAAGCAATATTCCACTACGCTTGAGGTGCATTCATTTCCTACAAATGACTGAAGTTTGTCTTCTTTAAGGCAGAGTAGTACTCCATTGTATGTAAACAACCCATTTCCTTATTCATCTGCTAGTGGGTTTAGGAAGGCAGGGGAAGAGACAGGAGAGAAAGATATGACAAAAAAGTTGAGATGCGGTCTGTACATGTGCCAGCTCCACACAAGGAATGTAAACATTACATGCTGCAAACATACTAAAAAAAATGTATAATTTTTACACTCCTAAAATAAGGGTTTTTAAAAACCTAAATCTACCCCTGAAGGGTTCAACTGTGTTACTGAGATTCTTCAGTCTAAAAGAATAAAGTTATATCTAGTTTCTACAGGCTGCTAACTTATAGAAATAAAAACACAACCCTTGAAACCATATGAATTCTAAAAGCTCAAGGCAGAGTTGAAAAAGTTACCATTAAAACTAGAATTAGGGAGTTCCTTAGGGATAACATTGAACTTCCTAAGGAGAACTGTTACACTCTGGACCACAGCAACAATAATAGAGGGGTAAAAATTGAGAGGGTGAACAGGCTTAGGGATAGTACCAGCCAGTGTAAGACCACACACATAACTGGAGACACAGCAGGACACAGGAGAGATTCAGAATGAGAGTGGAAATGTGTTTGAATAAATACTGGTTGAAAATCCTCCAAGTTTGATGAAAACCTGACAGATCAACTTAGAAACCAGGTCATAGGAATTAAACCCTAAGCAAGAAAAATAGAGAACCCCAGCCAGGAACATCATAGTCACATTTCTGAAAACCAAAGATAATGAGAAAATCTTCAAAATACCTAGCGAACAGTGGGCACGTGACAGATGGAAATACCCGCGGGGGTCACTGCTCACCTCTCTGCAGAAGCAAGGAAGGATGGGAGACATGCGGGTGCTCTGCTGGTGGAGAGGAAAAAGTAGCTGCCCATCATGAACCGGATGCCCAGTGAAACTTCCTCAAACACAAAAGAGAAACAGACGTTCCCAGAAGAGCAGAATCTGAACTTGGCACAAACAATGCTACAGCAATTCTTCAAGCTGAAAACAATGCAGTGGGAAATCTGGCTCTAGAGGAAAACAACAAAAGAGTTCCAGAAACGCTGAAACTGGGTAAGCAGAAACATTTAACTTTTAAAAAAAATTTCATGCAAAGATGACAGGTTATTTAGAGGCAAATTGATAGGATTCTATTGTGGGTTTTATATGGGTATAAACTATGTTACTAAACCCCAGCATGCGGGAAGCTGAGGCAGGAAGATTGTTGTGAGTTGGAGACCAGCCTGGGCTACAAAGTGAGATCAAGGCCGGCCTGAACTGCACAGAGTCCTTGACTTAAAAAAGAAAAAAAATATTATTAGCCCCAAAGGAGGAACAGTCTGGAATTGTAGCATAGCAAGATTACATTTTAGGCGAAGTGGCACAATGTTACAAATGCGAATTATGACCATTAGAGATGGAATGCTAAAAAATTATCTAACAAACTAAGGCAGGACACGGAGGAACAAAACCAACAGTACAAGTAGAAAACAGAAGCATGAAACTGGAATACCTACGTTATCCCAAGTACCAAAGAGTACCTTCTTTAAGAATTCTACGAAGAAAAAACTTCAAGATTAGTCAAGACTAATTTGCAGAAATCACTAGTGGTTGTCTATGAGGGGTGGGCCCTGGATGAGAACAGACAGGACAGAACTTTCTGGAGTGACGGAAATTTATATATCAACTGGGATAGCGTTTTAGGCAAAAACAAATATACATCTATAAAAATTCACAGATATGTATATTTTAAATGATCAATTTTTAAAAGCTTCAAAATCAAACCACCTTGAGGGGCTTCCAGTTATAAACTTCCACCAACAGAGGGCGCTCCGAGCCCATCAAACACGACCCGGGAGCCCCAGGTACTTTGGGATGCAAATCAGATAGCTTTGGATTCCGCAGCCTCCGAGGTGGATGGCGCAGCTCCCCAAGGTGGATGGCGCGGCTCCCCAGTTGCTCCCCCCGACACCCCACCTTCCCCACCCGCGGCCTCACCGTCTCGTCCGTTCCCTCCGGCCACGCGCCGCTTCCCGGCTGCCACGCTAATGGCGACGATCGCTTGCGCGGCGCCGACGCGCAATACAGATGCGACCGAGCTGGCGCGCGCTGCCTGGAGGCGTACCTGTCCCCCTAAGGTCCTCTCCTGATGTGATTGCTTTCAAAATTGGAAGTAGGAACGTAATGGAAACTTGTGCACTGTGCTCAGCGTCTTCATGTTTGACCTTCTTCCCTCGCTCGGGCGGCTGTGAAACATTCCCACGCGAGGGCTGCGCGGGGGGCGGGGATGGAGGGACCGCAGCGCCGGGGAGGCGCGGGCAGGATTTTCCCCAGGGTTCCAGCACCCCGAATTATTGTCATCCTGCCACTTCCTGCCCCATCTTTCTCTCAGAGGAGGGCTGACGACCCGAGAGCCCTAAATGTCCTTTCCGCCCTCACCCACCCCAGGCGGGTCTCTCGGGGGCGCGGAGATGCCATTACACCTCACGTGATCCCCGCGCTGGGCTGGTCTTGCAGGAGGCATCTCGCCGGGTGTTAATTAAAGGTCACAACAAAATAGACCTGCCGGCACACCAGAAGAAATGTCCTCTCGGGAAATGAAAAATGACACCCCAGAGCAGCCACGTGTGGAGCCTGGCTTGTGCCGGCTTCCTGCGCTCGCGGGCGCTGCACGGGGGGCGGAGGCGGGGACCGCGGAGGCGCGGCGTGTGGGTGCCCTGGAGACCCCCACTGGTGCTCGGCGCGGGGAGAAAAGCGCGGAACCGGGCGAGGGGACCGAGCCCCGCCCGCGGGAGGCCTGGGCCAGCTCGCGCCACACCCCCTCCCGGCCAGCGGTGCCCGCGCTGCGCCTGTGCGCACAGCGAACCCTCGGTTTCCCCTGCCCGGCAGCTGGGTGCTGGGGCTCACCTGTCCAGCCCTGGACGGTTTAGCGCCCCACAGGTTGGGTTCTGGCGGGGCAGGCTGGCAAACTGGTGGGGTCAAAGCCTCCCGGGTCCTCCAGCTGGGCTCCGGAAGGGAGGCCCCCCGGGCGGCCTCGAGTGGGGAGGACAATTCCAGAAAAGGTTTGCAGGGCAGGTCTCGGAGAACAAAGGGCGGGGGGAGGACCCAGCGTGTTTGTGGACTTGTGACTCAATCTGTTTTACACGGCTTTTCAAAGGCAGACCTGCAAGCCTCGCCAAGGAAGAGAAAGAACTTGGGGGCGGGGGAGCTGGGGCGCAACGTTTCCGTCCCCCAGCAGCGGGGTTGCATTAGAGCCCCGGCCACGGGCCACTCGCCAGGAACTTCCTCGCCGGCAGCGAGATTTACGACCCCACCCCCGCCCGGGAGCGCGGCCTCGCAATGTCAGGCAGGAGCGCAGCGCCATAAAATGGATCCCGGGCGGCGCGGCGGCTGCAGGCTGGAGACCGGCTCCAAGGAGGCGCGGCTGCGGCTCCCGAGGCTCCGCGCTGCGCCCGGGCACACACGCGCGCCCTGACCGCGGACGGCTCCCGGCCACGCAGAGCCGCCCCACTCCCTGCCCTCGCGCAACTGTCAGGCGAAACGGGCTGGCGCATATTGGCTCGGCGACACGCCGAGGCTCCTCCCCGAGTCTGGATCTTTATATTTTGGGAGAATTTCTTTGAACTCAGCGAGCGCGGTGAAGGAGGCAAGTTCCCACCGCCAGCTGCACGGACGGAGGGCGCGTGCCGGCGAGGGCTGCCCCACCTTCCCGCGGACGTCGCGCGCTCGATCGGCCCCTCTCTCCTCCCGCGGAGGAGAACTGACTTGGCTGAGAGCGATGCCAGTAATCTGTCTGTGACCGTGAAAAGAGAACGCGTTACTGCAGGAGGCAGAAGAGGATGAAGAAAAGCATTATTTGGCGAGAATAAACCAGCTACTCCAACCCGTTCTACAAATTGGTGCTATTACTTCTGGGTTCATTTGCTTTTATTCCCCCGAACCCCCTGTTACGAAATCTTGACTTGAAGGCCAAGAGACAACCCCCCTACAACGGGGGAGTGGAGGGGGGCGCTTCTGGGTTGGCAGACCTTTTGGATGTAGCGTTGGCGAGACATTTAGACGCTCTCCTCTGCAAAGCCACCATGAATTCAGTAGCTGGGAATAAAGAGAGGCTTGCGGTCTCCACCAGGGGCAAGAAATACGGGGTAAGTTGTGACGGACAAAAGCGGAGACGCGTTACCAGGGCCACCGGGCGTGGGGCTCACCTCCAGGCACGCGCGGCCCCGTCTCGGCTCCAGCCGCGGCGGCTCCCGGCGCGGCCATGCATGCGCGGAGGCGGGTCCGCCGCCGGGACCTGCACGCCGCCCGGTGCTCCGAAGCTGCCCGGCCCCTCGTTCCTTGCTTTCCCTGCACCCTTAACTTTTGCAGTATTCCCGGACTTATAGCAGTGAAACCGAAGGGAGGGTTTCCCATGAATTCCTTGCAGTTCCTCGAGTGGTTTCCTTAGAACGTCTTCATTTACTTGCATGATCTGAAGGGCAATATCCCGAATGAATTAAAAAACCTAGAAGTCACCGACTTCCCTCTCCCCTGTAGATGTTTCAGGATCTGGGACCCGGGCTCCGGCTGGGGTTGGGTGCTGGGTTCCAAAGCTCAGGGCGCTGGATCTACGGGTTTGCGCTGAGAAAACCGTTCACACCCCTCTCCAGCCGGGTCCACAGCAAGTCCATCTCCTGCTCCTGAGGATTAGTCAGCTGGCGCCCGGGAACCGGCTCAGGGGTCACCAGGACGGTGGGGACTCACTTCAGGACAACCGAGACGGATATAGGGAATGCGGGCGCGGGGCTTGGCGTAGCAGGGAACCGGTGCCCGTGGGTCCCGGGCGGGATGACTCCCCCTGCCCGGCGCAGCTCCGGGACTCGGGGTCTGGCCGCCCCGCCGCGCTGCCACTGCGTGTCTCCCCCGCAGGTGAACGAAGGCTGCTCTCCCACCAACCCCGCGGCGCCCTTCTCCCCGGAAAGCTGGTATCGGAAAGCCTATGAGGAGTCGCGCGCGGGGAGCCGGCCCACCCCCGAGGGCGCGGGCTCGGCGCTCGGCTCGTCGGGGACCCCGTCCCCCGGCTCGGGCACCTCGTCCCCGAGCTCCTTCACCGGCTCCCCGGGGCCCGCGTCCCCGGGCATCGGCACCAGCTCGCCGGGCTCCCTGGGCGGCTCGCCGGGCTTCGGCACGGGCTCCCCGGGCTCCGGGAGCGGCGGCGGCTCCTCCCCCGGCTCGGACCGCGGCGTCTGGTGCGAGAACTGCAACGCCCGCCTGGTGGAGCTGAAGAGGCAGGCGCTCAAGCTGCTCCTCCCGGGGCCTTTTCCCGGCAAGGTGAGCGAGGGGCGGGGAAGGCGGGCGGGTGACCGCCGCCCGGAGCGCTGGAGCGCGCGCCTCGCCGCCCCGTCTGCGCGGGGTCCGCCGCACATCCCGGGCTCACTGCCTGGGTTCCCCTGCGAGGCCTCGAGAGAGACGGAGCCCAGGCTTCAAACTGGGCTCTCGAGGGACGCCCCCACCCCCGGCGGCTCGTCCTTCTGTCCAGCCACTGGGGCCCGTAGGTTACTGATTAACCTTCCCCCCACCCCCACTGGTGATCCTTTAGAATGACAGTGGGGACCCTCAGGGAAAGCTGAGGGTTGGGAGTTGGCGCTTTCCATTGCTTATTGCGGAAACTGAGACACACACCGGAAAGCCAGCATTGCCCGCTTAGCGCTCTGAGTGCATCAGCGGAGGATTAAGAGGTGGCTCCCTCCTCTGAACAGCGCTACATCCTGGCTCGCTAGAGCTAAGCACGTTGGATCTTCCATAGCAACCCTGCCCGCGTCGTGTGCCGGGCCAGGAGCCCCAGAGTGCAACACAATGCAATTGTATTTGCACTGCTGGGTCCAAGTACTATCGAATGATAATATTTACTCTTCCACTTCAAAGAGTTTTTATCAGTGGTTAGAGAGAAATACCAAGAAAACAGTGGATTGCGGTGGAGGTTTCTGACACTGTTCAGTGGCATTTTCTGATTTGTATTTCTGTGACTTTTGAAATGAGATACTGTGATTTTGAATAGTGAAATTTAGGAATAATTGCATTCTGCTTATCTTCTCTGCTTATCCGAGCACGCACGATGTTGTTCTTGTGTATGAGGTTAAGTTAAACAAATACCCCTAGACTGTTGTAAAATTTAAATGTGGAAAGTCACCACCAGGAGAATTGTTTTTATGAATCCAGAACTTACCTTAAGAATAACCGGTGTGTGTGTGGGGGTTGTAACAGTGCCATTTTTGTATTTCAATAATAAATCTGCAGGACACCCCAAGAATCAAACTCAGAGAATCTTGCATGGTAGGCCCTTTAATTTAACAGTGTTTCATCACTTGCAAATTTATTAGCTGTTTCGATTATTCATCACTATTCATCGATTTCCTACCCTGTTCAAGTCACTGTGTCAGGTACAGCATGGAGAATAACAGGTCCATCCATCCAGTCGTTTGCACACAGAGCTTATATTCTGAAGATTACAGCCTCGAACCACAAAACACAGTTTATAATTTATTCACATTGGTGCTGAGAAGGGGGAGGGTAGGTTCCTGTGAGGTTGTACAGTGAGATTGGACCATCTGATAGAGATCTGAAGGACTTCAGTTCTTCAAGATATTTCACATCTGATAGATGGCAGTCCCAAGAAGTTGCAGCCTAACAAATTGTTTTAAAGTATTCTTGTGGACTTATTACAAAGGCTATGTTATTGAGTGCTTCTCCTGTGCGAAAGTAAAAAGAACAGACTCACTTCACCGAAATGGAAGAAGGGAAGGAAAATCTGCAAGAAGAAGAGACAAATGTTGAAGCTTAAGTGCACCTGTCGTGATTTGTGAGGTCAAGTGACAAAACTGGCTTTTTGTTTTTGTTGAAGCTGCCCGAAAAATTCACGCACGGTATGGACAGGAAGTGGCCCAGTATATTTGGGGTTTTATTTACATGATGAAATGAAAGTGATGCTGGGGAACTGGTCAGGTTGTTAGTATGAAGCACTGATGTCCCAAACCTTGGTGCTGTTCCCTGCCTCACCGGGATCCTGGGATATCTAGGCAAGAGCTGTCTCTGGGTCATGGGCACAGACACAGTGCACACATATTTGTCACACAGAACTACAGTTTTCTATGGAGAGCAGCTCAGGAGTTAGCCAGGAGTCAGGGGGCATGCTGGGTTAGTTCATTGTTAGTCACCAGATAGGGGGCCCCAATTTTCAGTACCAATTTGCATGATTTTGGGAACAATAATTTTAGGAGTCTATTTATGCAATTATACCCTGTGATTAGGCACAGTTTCCATTATACTTTTAATGTTTGCAACATTTAAACCGAAGAATGCCAGTTCCCCATGCATGTGGAGGGCAGGCCGTGGGGCAGGATTTAGGAGCAAACAGTGGACCGCTATAACTCTCAGGAACCAAGGAGTTAAGTTTCATTAGAACAAGAGATGTCATTGTCACTGCAACATGTAATTTGCCTGGAGAGTGAGAGTCTGTGAGATAAAGTCATGTTTTTGAGGGGTAATTAGTAAAAATCATCTTTGTAATTCACTTAAAATGCTTTACTCTATGGTGGGTAATATTGTTTCAAATAGAGTTATTAAATTCTACTCTGTGGTATCAAGTCTCCCAGGCAGGCATTTAAGAATCAAAGGCAAAATAGTATATTTAGGAACCTGTTATTTTAGGATAGATTTGGTTTAGTTCTTTCCCTACCACTGATGCATTTGTGACATTAAGTCACTTTTTTTGTATGTATTTTAACTTTGCCATTCATATCCCAATGGGAAAAAAGATTCAAACTTTTAGAATGTCATAAAAACTATCTAAGGTAAGGTTTGAAAAGCATTTCAGTTCCTTAGAAAAAGACATGAGGGTTGATAATTATTTTTTAAACAAGGTTCTGTTAAGATTCTTTAAGACTTTTCTTGTAAAACATTCCCTAAGTTCAGGCTCTGATTTCCATAGCGTGTTTCCCAAATGTCATCCTGCTATATAAATCCACAAGCTGTGCCCATTTGTAGGTAGGAAATCCTATTGAATTCCCCTAGTTTTATCTGTGGGGTACTTGAGTGGGATGGCAGCATGAGGTGTGCTGAGCCCTAGAGAGGTCCCTAAGTTAGGGACTGGCTCTGGTAGCCTGAGAGTTCCACCTTATTCTGAGTCTCAAAGTAGTTACAGGACCACTGGAGAACAGAGCTTTCTAACAAGATGACACCGCTTGTGTGTAACTGGCTGGAGGCCATGGTGGTGACTCAGATAGCGGATACAGATTTGGATGGAGCCCAGAGGATGGGATGGTAATGGACTTGGGCTTAATCCCATGGGTGGGATTGGAGACTTTGGGAGAAGAGATGGAGAGTGGAGATAGATTTCATCATGAAAGTTTTGTTGTTGGCAGAGTCAAGACTCAGATGGAGAAGTGATGACTGTAAGCTCACATCATGGTACTCTGAATTTATTCATTTTTTTCCAATAGTAACTTCCCTGGGTGAGGAGAGATTTGTGCCTGGTGGAAGATTGTAAAGCATTCCGGTTGACTTTTATTACCTCAGTCAGTAAAAAAGTGCTTACTTGGTTTATATCACTTCGCTTCTAGAGCTGGTAAGTAGAAATGGTCAGATAAAACAAAAGAGTGTGGATGTGAGAAGTGTTGGGGTTTTAAGTGGGGACAGTTCTTTCACCCACTGTAATGTTCCATTGTGGAAATATAAAACTATTTCACGTCTCAGGGTGAGTGTGCCTTTTCTGTTTTATGGAGTTGAGGCACTAAGCCAGAAATAGAGGCCAAGGAACAAATCTCTCAGCTGTGAGCTAGCCCAGGTCATTCTGGTATCTGTGACAGAACTTTTGAATCTACAGAGTGAGCCCTAGGAAACATCAGCCTAAGGAAATTCCCTAGCGTAGCAAGCAGGTTATCAGACATCTGTTCATTTCCATATCAATAGAAGAAAATCTCCTCCTGTGTAAAAAAGTCCAGAACTATGTTTCTATTTTTTTTTTTTTGGTCACATATTCTGAGTCCATTTATGCCCCAGAAATATCAGCAAGATTAGCCAGACATCCTGCAAAGGGTGGCCAGGAATCACAAGATAAAAGAAAGGAATGTGTCCTAGGGGTTAAAAACACCAAACGTGGGCTCTAAATAGCCAGAGACCAAAGAAGTCTAGACTTGGGGAGATATAAATACATATTTCTGTATTTTGCTAGTTCCAAAAGAGAGGTATGGAAAATAACTATTCAAAAGATCCCCCAAAAGGCATCACAAAACACTTTATAAATAGATAAAATAGACATTGCATTTAAAATATTTATTAGTTACGAGGGATTTTTCCTTGAAATTTCCTCCCAAGAACACATTTCAAAAAGCTTCATTAGATGCATTTTGGAAGTACTTTATATAAAAGGGACAGCTAAGAGATGGTATCTCTAATGAAAAATTCCTGCAGCATAATCATTTAAAGGTTTCCAGAACATCTCAGAGTTTATAAAAACATTCCCAGTACACCATGTGAGCAGTAATCTCTCCTCTCAGGCTTAGTAAGCAAAGAATAGCACAGTGCATTCTACCAGACTTTTAATTGTGGAACCAGCAGCGTCAATTTCTGCAGTGACTTAATTCACTTTGCAAAAACTCTTAGCCTGCAATCAGTTCTTCCATGCTCCATACAATTATTGTACTAGAAATGTGATTTTCAAATGGCCGAGGCTGGTAGTTTGTCAGCATTTGGAAGGAGTAAAACACTTAAAATTTAGTCTTTGGCATATCACAGATGATGTCATCACCAGCTAATAATGGTGATGAGGATAATAGTAATGATGGTAGGAAATGGCCAACAATTAGTGTCCTTATGTGCCAGGCATTATACTCAGCCACACACATGTGACACAGCCAAATGAAGATAAACAAGCTATTTTGTCTATCCTGGAATTCCAGATGCTTGGTGTGGTTACTAAGAGATCCAAGCACACTTCCCCCCAAACTACTGAGGGTCACCATCAGTGTGACTGACTGAGACAGCCCTGCCTAAGGATGCAGCCACTGTCTGGCATAACTGCTGTGGGGGAATGGGGGAGATGGTGGCGGAGGGGTGCTTAGGTGAGGATTCCAAATTCAGTCATCTTCTTGACTGGAACATAATGGGGCAGGGAAAGAACTGCCCTGTTTCTGTAATCATTTCGATGAGACACTGCTCAGTCCTCTTTGCACTGAAAACCCTGCCTGAGGGCCCCGTCCTGGATCAGTTGGTATCCGTCATCCTTGCCTGCCGCTGCCTTTCGATCTGCTCCAGAACCTATCTGAGAAAACTGG